AAGCTTCTTAAAACGGTTTCTTGAACATGACAGTGAGTTCACTGTACTCCAATGGCCTCCACAGTCTCCAATCCAATAGAGCACCTTTGCGATCTGGTGGGACAAGAGATTCACGTCAAGGATATGCAGCCAACAAATCTGGAGCAAGTGTGTGACACTGTCATGTCGATATGGACGTAACTCTGAGAACTGTTTCCAACACCTTGCTGAATCTATAGCATGAAGAATTAAAGCAGTTCTGAAGGCTGAAAGAGGGGGTGCATTCCAATACTAGCAAGGTGTGGCTGATGAGTGTGCATAACATGGGCACTACAGCCTCCCATCAACCTAAAATTACTTGATGAAAAAGAGATTTAATTTTTAAATTAATTTTTCCTGTATTATTACAATTATAGATTAAAATGCTCTGGGTGTATGGCAGGCCACAGTCTGCCTTTAAATATTAATGAAGTATTTAATAGTATAATAAACTCAATCACGCAAAGCCATAAAATGAAATTGCACGACTGAATATAGAACATAAATTAATATTTTAATTTACACAAATTAAATGGGACCAAAAATAGACAGGAATATCCAAGATTACGCTTACTCGACAGAGTTTTTATCCAGAAAGCACACTTTAATGTGCCGATTAAGACTATTGTTAATACTTCATACTCTTATAGCTCTCCTGTCACACTGTTCTTACCTCAGAGGATTTTTATAGGAAACTGCACCAATGCAAAGGAGTGCGCTGTGAAACCAAAAGCAGGAATGAAAACTGATTTCAAAATCAATCAGATTCTCACCTTAATGTTTTTGGAACTGAGGATCTATTGTGAAACTATATGTGCTATTTGAATATTTAACAGAGAGTTTAAGACAGTAAGTGTTGTGCAGAAGAGACAGAAATAGTTTCTTGGACATATATGTTGATCATGGGTAAAATGCTGTCATGCTTCAGTGTGTGACTGTGAATGTTATACACTGAAGCATGAGCATGGGGACTAAAAACAACTGCGGTGCAATAGGCCATAAAAATAATACTGCAAGGCAATGAAAAGAAGCTATGGGGTCATTTGCAGCTTTATGCAGCTTTAATAAAAAGTAACAGGTTAGACAGGTGCTCCCTCTAGAGGACTCTTCTTGACTACACTCCAGGACTTCATATCCAAATACACAGTGGGCTGTGGTGGAATATAGTCCAACCTTTTCCTAATCACCTTTATTTGACTGTGATGGGAAAGGTCAGGAGAAACGATTTAAAGGGCTTAGGAAAAGAGAACTGTGGTGCTCAGAGAATCTGACTTTGCTGAACACGACTGTGCGGACAGATGGATACAAAAAGTGCATCTCAGATTTGATCCCAGGAGTTTTACCACATTGTGTCATGCAAGGACAACCTGGTGAAGGTGTACTTATTATCTTTGTGGCTTGTACCCCACACACCTATCCTGAACCCTAATGCTATGTTAGCTTTTTTATGTATTTATAATATTAATTCACACACTTGGGCTTGCATTTTTTATAGGTTTACTGCTCACTCATAGCTTTATCGAGCTCACATCTGCACATATTGCCACCTCTGAGTCATCAGTTAACCTAACATGTCTCTGGACTGCAGGAGGAGAACAGAGCATGCAGAGGAAACCTGCCACATAGAAAGGGCTCCTCAGTGAAGTTTGGAGGGAGATTTTCAGCGTACATGGGCCACGGCTGTCTTTAGTCTGCTTTATACCATATTTTAAATTTGAATTCAATTTTATAGATTTATGTTTGATATGGATCTCATTCGAATTTCTGAGTTTCAGAAACTGCCTTCTGCTGGAAGAAGAACTCATCAATGAATATCCGCGATCCATGAGAACCAGCTTCTTGGCAGGAGTTCAAATAGCAACTCCAAAAATTCAAAACATCCCAGAAAGAGTCAGAGATGTGTGTATCACTCCATATGCAAAATGCTGCGGCACGATTTTTAACTGGGAGAAGGAAATTTGATAACATCACTCCGATTTTGGCCTCTCTACACTGGCTTCCAATTGAATTTAGAATCCGTTTTAAAGTTCTTTTATTGGTTTTTAAATCTCTAAATGGTCTGTCACCTGTTTATTTGTCTGACTTGTTGAAGCCCCACGTCCCCACTCGTTCCCTTCGGTCAGCTGAGCTGTTGCTGCTTTCGTCCCAAAGTCACGGCTGAAACTTAGAGGAGACCGAGCGTTCTCTGTTGCAGCGCCGATGCTTTGGAATAACCTTCCTCTCCATATTAGACAGGCTACATCAGTGCCAGTTTTTAAGTCTTTATTAAAAACCTATTTTTATTCCCTGGCTTTTAACTCTGTGGGTAACTGACTTTTTTTAATTTATTTTATTGCTATGTCTGGTTTCTGCTATCTTATTATTATATGCATATTTGTATTGTACAGCACTTTGGTCTATCAGGTGTGTTTTTAAAGTGCTATATAAATAAATGATGATGATGATGATGATGATATGGCATAACAAAGTTATGGTGTGATGACAGAGACCCAATATTGTGCATGTGGAATGAGTTCCCTCAACGGTTTGAATTAAAGTACTGCATTATCAAGCAGGACAGCCCAGTGGTGATCATGCACTGCTGATCCAGTGGCCTCAAAGGGATTTTTATTTCCTTTGGTGATTCAAAATAATTTTTGTCTGTGCTCATCTCCCATCATACAGAGGCACATATCCTTTAACACTCTTAAAGAATCTTTCTTAAGTCTTTTTTTTTTGTACATTAGGATTCTCATCTTCATCAGTGTGTGCAGCATGATTCAATTGTTTGCTCGATCTTCGCTGTTCTCACCTGTGTTCACCAAACCCAGCATATCTAAAACAGTCTGTAAGAAATGGTTCTTTTAAGAGTGTTGCACATGTGTTGAAAAATCCTCATCATTTCCGAGGTTGGTGACTGGTGGATCACATATATCACTGCTTTTGTGGCATCCAAACAACATCCTGGAAATATAAGTTAGAGGGACACCATAAACTCATCACCCACATCATACACAGTTGCACTGATCAAACTTCTGTGATTTCATTCTGCAGTTTGAATTTACTTTTCTGGTCTAAGGGTGACTGGATCTGGGTCCACAGTCTGTTACAACTCAAACAATGAGTTATTCCTGTCTACGAGGAAGAAAAAGATCCCATAATAAGCACCTGTGTGTGCACTCTGTTGCAGCATTTTTAAGCAAGTTGCCTCCATTTGATAAAATGGCGTGATCACCATGTGGGATACCTTAACACCATGCAGTTCAGCATCCCTCCAGCATCCTGTGTTTCTGAAGCACAGTTTCTCAGAAGGGGGTAACTTTAATATGGAAAAGAGCTCAATCACTAGATTGT